CTTTTAGCTAGCCTGCTTCCGGGTTCTTTGTAAGCTAAGTAGCCACGCGGATCAGACTGAGGAAGAGATCTAAGGCTAAAAAAATAATAATAAATAAATCAAAATAAATGCCATAATGAAAGGAAATCAGGCCTTTATTAAGCATCGAATCCATCATATAAGTAGTTTTTATTATTTAAAAAAAATATAAATATATACAAAAATCATGTACCATATAGAAAATAAAACATGATAATATTTAGAAAAAAACAAACACTTTCATGCATACTGAAAGCATCATACTCATACCATGCATTTTCATAGTCATTTCTATTAAATGGAGGGATCAGCGATGCTAACGGTTGGAAAAAGTGGATATTCCCCGATATCGCGTGTTGAGAAGTTGGAGCAAATTGTGTGCGCTTATGCCATCAGAAGTTCGATCTGACTTCGAGAGATCTTATGGACGGATTTTGGACCTCTTGAAAATATTTGTTGACCATGTGTTCATCGGGGTCCTAATCCACTTCCGGGCTCCAGTTACAATCGCTCGAGTTCCCTCACTTTGATTTGGTTCGACTTTGGAAAAGTGCGAACTTATGATCAAATGGCCCAAGTCATTTGGGGTATACATTGGGCGAGTGGGCCTACGTCTCGATAAGCAAGGTCGCTCACCTCATCCGAGTTACCACTTTCACGGTACCTACGAAGGGGAAAAGGGAGCATTCGGGGGTGGAAGATATCACTTTTAGAGGACCACTTATCCCTGCGTTTGAAAAAGGAGATCGGCCCACTTTCAACAAGACTTTGGCATTAATTATGTTTGGGACCTTTCTATTCCTTTCCATAATGACGTCGTAGATCACGCCGTAATGGACGCCTTCTTTGCTTGGAGGCACATTTAAAAGTCTTGTGCTCGCTTCTTGCTTGCGACACCTTCGCTGTCGGTAGGAATTCTGTCATCATAAACAAGGAAAAACACTTTGTTGTTGTTACGCATTGTTGTTTGTTTGGGGTATCACTCACTTCTATGCTTCAAGTCATATGGGAGCATTCCCGGACACGTTGAGAAGCTTCTCAAAGATCCCCCTCCATCATCGTGGTGCCATAGAGTGGAAGAATTACATTTGAAAAGTCTCGTGCCTGCGCTTTTTGCCGACACCTTGCTGTCAGTAGAATTCTGTCGTCATAAGCAAGGAAAAACACTTCGTTGTTGTTCTACATTACTGTTTGTTTGGGGCATCACTCACTTCTATGCCTCAAGTCACATGGGAGCATTCCCAGACCCTTTGAGGAGCTTCTCAAAGATCCCCCTCCATCATCGTGGTGCCATGGAGTGGAAGACTGAGTTGGAGCACTGGAACATAGATCACATATCTTGGGCATGTCATTGGTTCCGACCTGGTCTCGTTCTTATCCGATGCGGAGATCACCCCTATGTACCATTATTGGGCCTTAGGGGTTTCATAGCTTATTCTCCAAAGATAGCTATGAGGCAGCTCATGAGGACCCAGACCATTCCAACACAGGAAGAAATCGGGGGATTATGTTTCTTCTGCAGTTCCAGCAACTTCAAGGATGCTCCCGTAATCCGAAGATCATGGGAGAAACCAGTCTACTTGGGGCACGAAGAGCTTGGCAGGGCTCGAATAGCCGTTTCTAGTGACTTTGAGGAATGGAGAAAGAATAGAGGGGTGCCACATCCACCCGCTCCATCCCCCTCGCCATCAGTAAATGCGGAACTACGAACCCGAGTTGACGCCTTGACCCAAAGGATAGAAATTATGGGAGCCCAATTGAGGGGCCTTGAGGAGAAAGAACAAGAATCTATCCTTACCATTGACGGTTTGCAAAGGCAGTGCAAGAAGAAAGACCAAGAGATAGAGCGCCTCAAGGACCAATGTGCTGACTCCAATAAAGAGGTTATTCGAGCATCTAAAGTTGCTAGAGCAAGCTCGGATAATCAAATCCAGGAAATGACGGCCAAATTAGCACACCTTGAGGCCGAATTTGCAAAGCAGGCACAGGCGACCAAGATGATGCAAGAAGACCTCGAAAGGACTCGGTCTGAAGCACAACGAAAGAGGGAAGCCACACAAAGACTTAACAGGGACTTGGTTGAGCTACGATGCAAGGAGAGAGACGGATTAGCTCAGTACGGCCAAGTGCTGCAAGAAAGAGACCGAGCCCTTGAGAAACTTGATGACTTATAGGCCTTTGTCATCCATCAAGAGGAAAAGATAAAAGAGGCTCATAAATACAGTGAAGATATGAGCCAGGCAGTCCATCGCCAGTCTGAAGCACTTACTCATCATTTACGGGAAGCCGAAGGGGAATTACGTAGAAACCAGAACCTGCCTGTGGATTTCTTTAGGCTTTTCCGTTTCTGCCAAAATGTGCTTCGTAGCATGGCCTAGGGGAATGTACACTTTTTCTGGATAAATAGAATCACGTTTTGTTTATATATACAACTGTTTATTGCATTCATCTCGCATTCATTCACATATCTCTCCTTGCTTTAAATTAATAAGATAATAAAAAAGAAAGGTTAACTGATGTGCTTTCATAAATCAGAAGAATGGAAAGGAAACCACTCATCATCAGTCTTTCCTCAACGATTGAGCCACCCACAACAGACAATAAACATCAACCGCTGGTTATCGCGATCAATAAAGAAGAAGGGGCTAGGACACCGCTGCAATTATTTATGCCTCGCCCTTTCCCCTATGAATCAAATAAAGTTGTACCATGGAAATACGCAGTAAACGAAGACGTTTCCAATATAGCCGGTATTGGGGGCATGACTAGAAGCGGGCGAATCTACTCTCCCAAGGAGTCACAAGAAGATGCCCCCAAAAATAAAGGAAAAAAAATAAAGAAACCGAAGAAGAAGACAAAGAAGAATCCAAGGAGGAAGCAGACAAATTACTCTAGTTCATAAAGCAAAGTGAATACTCCATCATAGACCAACTCAACCGCACGCCCGCGAAGATAACTTTGTAATCTTTGATAATGAGTTCAGAACCACACCGAAACGCGCTGCTGAGGGTCTTGAACAAAGCCTACGTGTCACACACCATATCCCAAGACAAGTTTGAAGGAATCATTGGAAATATCACAGCCAGTGATCATCTTACCTTCACCGATGAAGAACTTCCCCCTGGAGGGTCAAGCCATAACAAGCCTTTACATATATCCGTCAAGTGTAGAGAATACCTCATCGCCAAAGTCCTTGTGGATAATGGGTCATCCCTGAACATCATGCCTAGGTGCACGCTTGACAAATTGGCAATTCAAGGAGTCCATATGCGTCTAAGCAACACCGTCGTTCGAGCCTTCGACGGATCAAAACGTGAGGTGGTAGGGGAAATCAATCTACCAATCCGGGTAGGTCCCACTATCTTTAACGTGGACTTCCATGTGATGGACATCACTCCTGCTCACAACTGCCTCCTCGGCAGACCTTGGATTCACGACGCCCAAGCAATCCCATCAACGCTCCACCAAAGAATCAAATTCGTGGTAGGTGACAAACTGGTCACAGTTCAAGCCGAAGATGACATCTTGATCAGCAAGCCGTCTACCCTACCCTATGTGGATGCAATAGAAGAGGCCCTCGAAACATCCTTTCAAGCGCTGGAGATTGCCAATGTTGAAAGACTTCCCAACAACATGAGGGTGGCACATATGATGACAACGTACGGGTACCGCCCAGGCCAGGGACTCGGTACAAATTCCCAAGGAATAAGGGAGCCACCAGATTTCAAGGACAATCCTTTGAAACACGATCTAGGGTACGACCCTAATACAAGAAGAAAGGGAAGGTCTCCCCTCCACCCATTGAATCAGATCTTCCGAAGCGGAGGGATACAGGTGTCAAGAGCAACTTTAGTCATTAGGTGTTCTTCTTCCATTTTTTAAAGGAATGTAAACCCAATGACTATTAGAGATTACTCCCCGGGGCCAGCTCGACCTCCGGGCATTTTCAGGGCATATATTACCCTTTTAATCATACAAGAATATAATTCTTACTATCTGCTTCTTTTCTTACTATTCATGTATGTGCCTCATTAATAACCATGCTTAAGCAAACGTTTCTAAAAGGCGTCTAAAAATTTGAAAGCGCACCGTCAGTAAAGAAACAAATAAAACCATCACTGATTGATTAGGAACACAAGTAAGGTTTTACCCCATCATAGTGAAACCGTGTTTTGCCAATGTTGCGAAAATAATAAGAGAGCCCATAAAAGCCAAAGGCCAAAAAGAAAGGGCGTCTAACCCGGTAGGAAACCCACAAAAGGGGGCTACGCAAAAGTTAGGATCAACCCGCTAGGAAACCCGAACAATAATAAAGGGTAGCCTAGGCAAAAGATAGGGTTACAAAGCAAGGTCCATTAGAGTTTCTAAAGCATAATAAAAAGAAACCCCGACAAAAGTTAGGACGAAACGCAACATCCTAGATTGAAAACCCAAAGGGCGGTCTAGGAAAGACAATCAATCTTAAAAAGCGCCGCAAAGCCCACCAAGCAAAGATGCAACCCCGCAAACGAGCGTTTGTTTGAGCTAAGCCTAAACAGTTCGACTAACCCTGGCTAGCCGTGCTTACAAATACCATTGGTTTCAAGAAATCCCCTCTAAAAACACAAACCTTTGATTTAATCATCCTCTTCCTTCTTTTCTCTTGACCCTTATCACTATGATATTCTAGCGATTAACCGGGTAATGTGGAAACATAGTAATCAATAGGAGGATTGAAATTCCAAAAAAGGGAGGAAGCACACTAGTATGACGAAATAGCTCTTCAGCACGATCATTCTTCGGTTAAGGCAAACCCAAAACGACAGAAATGGTACAACTGAAGGTAGCACGAGAAGAATCTCACCATCAGGAGTACATCAGTTAACTTTTCTGAAAATAATTAACTGAAATAGCATTATAAGTTGCATATCATGAACATTACATGCATAGATGTTGATGAACAAGGTCCTATTTCCTTCAAAAAATAATAAATAAAAAAAAAGAGTGGATGGTCGTCTGTTTAAGGCAGATGGTCGTCCGGAGGTGGCTGTTGGGACCAGATGGTCGTCCAGAGGTTTCCGTTGGGGGCAGACGACTGTCCATCCTAGCAAGATGGCCGTCCATAGGCGACCGTTAGGGGTAGATGGCCGTCCACTTTGAGCAGACGGTCGTTCGCCCCTGTTTTTTTGGCCTATAAATTTGGGCGCCCCAAATGGCTCATGGCACCTCATTCTTGCATTCTCCCTTCCTCCTTTACCTCCCATTTGCATATTTAAGTGTTCTTGGTTGAATAATGGATCGTGGAGAGTCGTCTACACGTCGGAAGCGCTCCCAGGGACCCATAAGGAGCATCCCCCCTCCTCAGGTTCCCACTCAACTAACCGAGCAGCACCAGGCTAGGTTTGCCAATATCAGCCAATTTGCTTGGCACCCTATGCTATGGTTGGACTTCAACATCCTAACCATGTTCGGTTGGGATCAGGATGTAAGGAGATACATCCAAGGTATAGGGTGGGACTTCCTGCTCAAAGATCCACCTACCCGCATCCACCGCACGACCACGTTGGAATTCCTTGCTTCAGTCACACTCATAGACCTACCATCTATGAGCCCCGGGCTTCCGCCTGTCCCAGCAGTCACCTATTGGATGAATGGGGCTTACCGGACCAACGTCATAGACGACTTCAACGTCCTCATGGGGTTCCACCAGCCCGTAGAGATTCAAACACCAGAGTACAGGGGGGCATTCTGCGAAAGGCCAGCTACCCTCACCACCAGTCAGATATGGGAGGAGGTCGCCGGCTCCCAGCACGTTCCCGCCAATCCAAAGGGGACCGCCTTCCTCCCACCTCTCCGCATTTGTCATAAGTTACTAGCGGGCACCCTTCATATACGAAAGGAAAGTCAAGGCAAGGTCACTCAGGCGGACCTTTTTGCCATCTACTGCATGCATCAAGGGATCCGATGCAACCCTGGCTACCTTTTCTTGAAGGACTTTGGGACATGAGGCCCTGCGAGATCCATCATGGTAGGCCCCCTTATCACCCCTCTAGCTGAGTACTGGGGATGCACCGATGGAGACGACATCCCCGCTGCCCTGCGACCAAAACTCATAGACGGTTCGGTACTCGCCAATATGAACATGCTCACCCGACATGGCATATCCTGGGTCCTACACCCCATCCTTGTTATGACGTTCGACATCCACGAGATGGACGCTTCAGAATCACAAGAGATGCCCGCCCCTCCAGGATCCGAACAGCAACAGACGCAGTATGAAGATAGCCTCGCCAGCCTACACCAGCACATGAGCGATGACAGGGCCCACTCGGATAGGCAGTACCAGCACCTGTGCCAACAGATCGATCAGTTGTCCCTAAGACAGTAAAGTTATGAGCAAGCACGGGAGAGCCTTAGCCTGAGGGTAGATGGCCTCACGCAGAGGATGGACACGATAGGTCAGGACCTACACGGCATGATCCGAAGCCAAGAAGAATTCCAGCACCACGTACTCCGCCGACTCCCTTCACCGGCACCATCCTCGGCATCCAGCTCAGAGCCGGAAAGCTGAGATCTTTGATAAATCTCCTGTTGTATTCTAATTTTCTACAAAATTAATAAATAAAACTTTACGTTTTTGTCTAGTTGCCTCTCTTTTGTTTACAAAAGCCAGCGTGCACAAAAGAAACTAAGAAAATAAAAAGGCACACGCATCATTCCAAAAAAAAAAACCAAATTTCAAAATCGCGAGAAAAAAGAATAAAACCGTAGAAAAAGGTGAAATTAATCGAAAATTTCCCGAACCAAATTCCAACTACCACAGCCAATAAAAGGCCAAATTCCCAATGGATCCCTGCCTACCTAAGAGGCATTCATCAAGAATCCCCAGCAGTCAAGAAGCTGGACGACTAAAGAAAATCCAAAATCAAAGAATACCCAGCACACCGGATGACTACACAAGAAGAATCAAGAACAATTACTCCTCATGGAGTCAGTGTAGACCCCTAATTTTGGCCGACTTCTTAATAAAAGAAAAGGAGACCTCTCGTAACAACAATAGAGTTCACTCAGTCACCCGACAAAAGCTAAGGAGACTCCGTAGATGAAGATAAAGCTCGCCCGACATCTTACTGAAGGCCAAGAAGACTTCCTATATGAAGATAAAGCTTCAATGGACGCATATCGACATCAACCAACGTCCGAAAAAAGCAAGGAAAGCTTCCCAGGGTCCCAGAACGCAAAAACTGGACAAAACAGGTCGAGACCACCGTCCCAGAGTTGGGACGGTCGTCCCAACTATCCTAGGACAAGTGAGACGCACGTCCCAAATGTGGGACGGCCGTCCCAAGTTCCAGGGGGTCCCAGCATGTGTAAAAAATGCATTTGGGACGGCCGTCCCAACCCAGACGGCCGTCTCGAATGTGCCAGGCAGCGAAAACTATAAATAGGAGGCTCATTTGACACTTTTCCACACACCAGACAACTCCTAGTACTTGTCTATCCTATTCCCTCTTCGAATGAACTCTCTGATTGCCTTAATAAGGTAACAATTAGTTAAGGAATTATATTCCAGCATTCGATTCTTCTGTAAAATCGAGTCGAGTTGATCTTGTATTTGGAGAGGAGAGTCTTTGTAGAGTGAAGGATTGCCAAAATGCATCCTTGCGATCAAAGATTTGCAATATAAAGCTTGCTACGAAGGTTCTGTTCAATTCTCTTCTCTTTTACTGCTTTTATTTATTGCTTTCTGTATGCAATAATAAATAAAGTCATGTAGATAACCATTTTTTAACATTATGCAATAAAATAGGGTAATCGCGTAATTTCTTGTAATCTTCATTTAAATGAATTAATCCGTCATAGGGAACCCGAAAGGGGCGTTGTTGGGGTGCTAACACCTTCCCCACACGTAACTAACTCCCTTACCTAACTCTGGTTATGATGGCCAAGTTTGGTTTTTATTAAAATCAACACCTTTTTATCCTTTCCAATGTTTACGGTCAAAACATTGGTGGCGACTCCAAAAGAACCTCTTTTCGAAAATCTTGCTTTTATTAGAGGATAGTTCAGTTGTTGAGCACCTCGGAAGCAATGAACACATTTGAAACAAAAACGTGAGTCTAAACCATCTTTTCGCGACCGCTCGCATAAACGTTCGAGATGTCCCTGGACGTCGGAACGGACGGCGGCGACAGATGGCGACTCCGCTGTGGATGAAGCTAGAGAGTTGATCCCATTTAGTGACGGATAAATTCAAACTAAGTAAAGATTTGAAATTACGCCTTTACCCTTTTCCGTATGTTTTATTGTATGGCTTTAATAATTGCTGTATGATTATTTTCTACAAATTGCTTGAAATAGAAATTGCACACAACAGTCCCTCTATACCCGGGGGAAAGAGTGAATACCTATAGGGAGTGGGTGGCAGATACGACCGGCTTGTTGGCACACGGGGCTACAACCGTTGTCGGAAACCACCAACTCAAGGTGATAACTCTCTTCTTTTTGGTCTAAGGATGTCGCCACGGAGTTTTGTGCATGACCCGAGGACTGAGAGATTGAGAGGTCCCTATAATGGGGGCACCTTGGGGACCTTTGGCCTTGGTGAGAACAGTTTAGAACCACCCAAACCAAGCACGTTTCTGCAGGAAAACCCTACCTCGTGATTAAATAAGCGTGGCTCTGCTCGTGGGTGAATGAATTGTGTGTGCATTCATTTGCTGCATTTGTATTGATGCATTAGCATAGGGTAATCATATAACAAACAAAAATAATGAAAAACCCTAAAAATCATAAAAGTGATAAGATAACCACCTTTATCTCGGACAATCTTCAGTTAAGCTAGCCTGGTTTCAGGTTCTTTGTAAGCTAGGTAGCCACGTTAACCGACAGAAGAGATAAAGGGTCATAAAAAATATTAAAACAAATTAAAGCCATAAAATGCCTTTCACAATAAAAAGATTCTAGATATAAGTCTTACAATTAATACAACTTTTGTTCATCAAAATAATAAGAGAAGAAAATAGGACTCTCTTCATCAAAATTCATAAACATCCATATAGATAATTTTCTTTTTTAAGAAAAACCAAGTATTACCATGTATCATATTAGGAATAAAACATGATAATACTTAGAAAAACAAACACTTACATGCATGCAGTTACAAGAGCTCATCCTCATATCATGCATTTTTCATTTCTTTTAGATAATGGAGGGATCCAGTAATAGACAGTTAAAGAAAGTGGAAATCCTTCTATGCCATGTAGAGAAGTTAAGGCAGTTGAGTACATATATGCCGCCAGAGGTCATTGCTAATTTCGAGAAATCTTATGGAAGAATTCTTGACCTCCTGAAAATCAGCATCGATCCAATTTTTGTTAGAGTGTTGGTCCACTTCTGGAATCCCAATCTGCACTGCTTTGAGTTTTCACAGTTTGACTTAGTACCAACCTTAGAAGAATATGAACTCATGGTTAGATGGCCTCAATCAACTGGGGTCTATGTCTGCTCAGGAGTATATGTAGCTGTGAGCAAGGTTGCTACTATCATACGACTTCTACCTCATCAATCCACCCTAGAGGGGAAAGGGAACATCCGAGGTTGGAAGATGACCATAATAGAAGACCACTTAATCTCTTTGGCTGAAAAGGGAGATTGGTCTACCTTTAACAAAACTCTAGCATTAGCAATGTTCAGAATCATGCTATTCCCATTTCATGTGAACATTGTGGATCATGCTGCAATAGATGCATTCTTTGCCTGGGATGTATATTCTAAGAGTCCTATACCTGCAATTCTTGCTGATACCCTGCTTTCAGTAAACTTCTGCCGACAGAAACAGGGGAAAACACTTAGATGCTTCACTTCATTGCTATACGTATGGGGCGTCACTCACTTCTACGCTTCAAGTCACATGGGCGTATTCCCCGATCCTTTAAGGAGTTTTTCAAAGATCCCTCTTCAACATCGTCAAGCTTTAGAGTGGAAAACCGAGTTAGAAAATTGGAGCATAGAGCATGTATCATGGGTTTGCCCTTGGTTCCGACCTGGTTATATTCTTGTACGATGCGGAGATTACCTGAGCATACCATTACTAGGTCTCAGGGGTTGTATAGCTTATTATCCTAAAATAGCTATGAGGCAACTCATGAGAACCCAGA